CTCCAGGCCCTTTGCTCACAGTCTGATGCAGTGCTGGCTTGCAAGATCTCTCTCAATATGTCAGCCTGAGTCGTCATCTTTCTCCTGTTTATCTGGCTCAGGAATTGCATAGGTGTGGAGGAGGTACACCTGAAGGCCGCAATGGCAGCAGCTGCAGATTAAACATGCACCAGAGTCAGTATAGTCACAATGGAGAGTGACAGTTAAGGTTCACTCCCTTCCCTTGCTCCCTGAAAGCATTAAGACACGCTCATTGACACTTCTGCTTTGGCGTGCTTGTGCAGGGTGCCACTCACAGCGCCAGCCATGGTGAATGTGGCCCACCAGGTGTGAGGGAAATGAGGAGAGAATTGCTGAGTTGCATGAAACTATGAGTAGAGGCCGACAGCACTGAATACTGGCACCGTTTTCCACAGCCAGTGGTGATTTTAGCTGTTATCTCACTCCTGAGGATAACAAAGGCACAGAGAGCACAGCTGCTGCTAGCGTCCCAAAGCTGCTTGGGCCTGTATGCTGCTAGCCTGCGTACTGAAATAGTGCCTGCCAAAGTTATTGCTGAGTGGCATGGGAAAGTGTCCTACCGCAGAGGAAGAAATAAGGCTGCCATCCCTAGAAACCTTTGGGAGAGGACTGCACAGTACCTCCATGGAAGTTTCATCCAGATTTTTCAGGAGAATTCAAAGGACGTGCCTGTGTACATAAACAAACTGCTCTGCATGCCACACACACCCTACCCCATGACAAGGCAATGAAAAGCAGATAACAACTCTACCTCTGTTTTATTGTACTGCTACCCCTTCTAGCACAAATAAATCAATGAAAAGTCGAAAGCCATGTCCCATTGTAATGGGAAATAAATGTACACACTTACACAAGGATCCTTTCCCTGAATCAGGCTCACCTATGCTTGACTGACTGGACTGTGGTGGTATCTCAAACAGGTCCTGGCTTGCAGCATAGCTGGACCCCCCCGCCCCCCGGTCACATGTCTCCCATCTTCCTTCTCATCATTTTCCTCCTTGTCATCCTCCACATTCTCCTCACTCTTGCTGTTTGTGCCAGGCCTGTGACTCGGGCTCCTCAGAAGTATCCACAGTGTTTTGCAGGATGATGGTGGGGTTTCTGCCAAGTAAGCAGCTCTTTGTAAAAGTGGCAGTTGTGCAGCTTAGCACCCAGATTGACTGTTTGCCTCCCCAGTCTTCTGATATGCCTGCTGCAGTTCCTTTGCTTTCACATGCTGCTGCTGGGCTCTGTTGTACCCCTTCTCCTCTATCCCCCAGGCAATCTACTCATAGGTGTCCACATTTCAATGACTGATATGTAACTCTGCTTGCTCAGCCTCCTCTCCCCACAGACCAAGGAGATGCAATATCTCCTTTCTACTCCTGGCCACAGCACAATTGGAGTGTGTTTTGGCATGGTCATTTGGGCATTTGTATGCATCAGTGGAGAGCTGCTAGGTGTGCTCGCCAAGCTGGACAATCTGGAAAAGGCATTTCAGAAATTCCTGGGGCTTTAAAAGGTATAGGGGCTTTCTGATCTACATGACTCCTGGGCAATGAAGTTCACAGTTGTGACCACAGCAGTCAATGTGGGGCATTGTGGGACAGCTATTGGAGGACTGCTGGATTTGACATAAGTAATGCAGTGTCTACACTCACGCTCCATTGACTTCAGTACATTGACCATGGCTCTACATCGCTCAAGGAGGTGGTGTTACTGCATCGCTGTAATGGGGCGCTTACACCGGTGGGAGGCAAATTTAAGTGTGGATACACACACAACTAGGTTGGTGCCAGGAGGCTTATGTTGACCTAACTTTGTAGTGTTGACCAGGCCCAAGCAACGGTCCTGCCGGATCACTGTTGAGGGCATTGGCAGGAATAGTGTGAGAGAAGCGGCCCTGCCCTGCCTGTGCCATACCTGTACTGTAAGCTGACAAAATTTTGGAGTCTGGGACTGTGAATCCTGCACCTTTCATAAGTGCTAGGAAATAGTTTTAAAAGATGCTAAGGCAGATTTGTGGTGTCTGTGCACTGATTGTATGAAATTTCCCTCAAGATTTTGTATTGTTTCTTTATCTGCTTCCAGCAGGGGGAGATGGGTCCAGAGAGTATTTCTATTGGGAAAACAAAATGACTGTGATATATTTTAATCATGAGGCTCTCTCTGAGATTTTTTATGTATGGTTCCAGGTTGTTTGGTTGTTTCTGTCCCTCTCTCTTGCATCCATTTACCTATAATAATGAATAAAACTGACCAGCCTTGAGGGATTACATGTTTCAGAGTTTGAGACCCTGGAGTGAATTTCTTCCCCATCTTGCAGTTTATTATGATGATTATTAAATAGTTACATGATGGTATTGCCCAGAGGCCCCAATCAGGACTGGGACAGTTGAGGTAGGCACTATATAAATACATGGGAAAATGAGAGTTCCCAGTCATTCTTTCCCTTGCAGTTTCATTTCGGGGGAACTGGTCTCTCCCTGCAGTCCTCCTCCATTATTGCCCATGCAGTTCCGTCTCCGGGGAGAGGTTGGGGGTTGCAAGGGGATTTGACTTCCGCTCTCAGAGTCCCTGAGGTGACCAGAACCTTTGGATGGTCTTGGTTCTTTCTCTGTCCATGATGGGGGGGCCCCCTCTCCTCTCAATTTTTAATCTATGGGGATTTGGGATGTCACGTGAGCCCTGAGAATGATTTATTTCCTTTGCTCTTACTGATGCCCCCTCCATCATTCTCTCTATAAACCATATTGATGCCACTCTCCATGAAGTGCACCCTAAATATATTTAACTAGGCATTAAATTTAGATTTAATGGAATAGATATTTTTGTCTAGGTAAATACACTGAGAAAAGAAAATATTTAGTGAGCGTTAGCATTGTGTGGCAGATGCTCCTCACTTTGCATAATTGTTAATCTTCAGCAAATATGTTTTCCTTACTCCACTGGCATTTAATTGACATACAATAGCGCTTATTAAATGTAAATGAAATGCATATGGGAGACCCTGTTTAAAAAAAAAAGGGGGGGGTATATCACACTCCTGGCTTCTTGGCGCGAAGCAATCAATTCCACTATAGTCAACTTCATTACTGTGCCTGCTCTCACCACAACAGTAAGCATCCTCACAACCATGCCCAGGTCAATGCCGGCTGGGTAAGCTTCCTTGCGGCAGTGCTCTGCCCATGGCAGCTGAGACACCAGCAGTGTGAGCTTCCTCACAGAAGTGCCTTGGGGGTAGCAGCCTCTGAATTGAAGCTTTCTGGACAGTTCTTTTTCAGCACCATCAGGGTCTTTTGCCGGACTAGGGTAAGATTTGATGAGAGTCCAGTGGTCTAGGCCTTCTCTCAGCAGTGCCCTAGTAGAGCCAGCCCCTTGCTGCAGCAGCTTGAAAGCATTAGTTCTCAATGTATTGGCTTAACCCTTTGGTTTCTTGTAGCTTCCCCTTGTTGGTCCCATTTCCCTTAAGTTCTCCCAGACGAATTCTCAGTCTCTCTCATCTCCTTGCTTAACTACAAAGAGCTAGTCGCTGCTGCTGCTGCCGCCAAAGCTGTATCCGCTGTCAGGGGCCTAGGCCCTTATTCCCTAGTGCCAGGAAAGTTAGGCCTTGGGTCCCCCTTGTCCTCCGTAAGTATCCAGAAGTCTGACTCTTGGGAACAGAAAACATACAGGGCACCGATTACTGCTCCTCCCCTGGCAATGGGACTGAATGGGGCAGCAACTGACAGCCAGGCTGCTCTTCAGACCCTTTGGTTACCTGCTTTCCTCTTATCACCCCTTCAATTTCACCCTTCATTGCCGCTGCCCCCCCAACCTCAGTGCATTAGCCACTGAGCGGGTTACATGTGCAACGGAACTGGCCAGCCATCCCTAGGAGCAGTTCTTTCCATCCCTCCTCTGTGCAGGGAGGAAGGCAGGCATCAGCAGTAAAACATACGGCTATTCCTCTCCATTAATTTAATCTCCTGTCTCTTGTGATGGTGATAGTATGTGAGCTAAGGGAGTGTTCCTCGGGTTGGCAAAGCTGCTGCAGGGATCAGGGCCCAGCTGCCAGTGCTGACATTCGGGGAGGACAGACTGAGTATTCACATTGCCGGCAACTCAATACAAGCATTGTCTCCAGTTCATCCCTCAAAGGCCGGGGGCGGGGGGACTGTTTATCTGGTGTGGGAAAGAGAAAGAGGGGAAAAAGCAAGATTTAGCCTGAAAAGTCAGTTGCCAAGAATGTTCCTTTAAATCAACTAGCTTCTGATTTCAGGCCACACTGCCAAGTTCTTTCTCCCCCTTTCTAGCCTTCTTTTTAATATTCCCTGTATCTTTCTCCCTTCCTTCCTTTCCTCCCTGCCCCCTTTCCAGCATCTCTCTCTCATTCTGTCTTCCTTTTTCAGCTCCCTGTTCTCCTTCCCCTTTTCCAGACTCCCTGCCCTCTTCCTCTCTCATCCCTGTGTTCCAGACTCCTTTCTTCCCCTTATCCCCCCCTTTCCCACTGCTCCCTTTCTCATCCCCCCTTCCCATCCTTACTGCCTTCTTTCTCTTTATCCATGCTTCTCCAGCCTCCTCCCCCATCCTCCTTTTTCCAATGCCCTCCACCCTCTCGCTCATCTTTCCTTTCCAATCTCCTCTTCTTCACTTTTTTCCATTCTCATCCCCCTTTTCTCCAGCCCCCTTTATCCCCCCTCCTGCCCAGTCCCATACTTCCCTAACTTAGGTCTCTTTCTAAACACCCAAGTCCCTCGTCTGAAGGAATCGGCCAGGCCTCAGATGAAGCTGTTGTCGTGACAACCTAAAGGAGCATCAGGCTTTGATCAGGGCTGGCTTCTGCTGAAGGGGGCAGTTGTGTGGAGAGGCAGGGGATAGGGGGTGTGTGCTGGGGTGGGAGGGGGGGGAAGTGGCGGGTGAGGAGATGCTGCTGCTCAGGGCTCCCCTCCCCCCCCCTTCCCCGCGTGCTCCTGCTGTAGTGCTGAGCTTCTGTTTCACGAGTAAAGCTCCCTCCCTCCCCTCCTTGCCTCACTCCGCCTGGGAAAGTGGGTTAGGAAGGGAGCTCAGCGCTCAGAGACTGCACAGCCACTCGCAGGAGCATCCACACGCGGAGGGGAAGCACACAGGACTCTTCTTTTTCATTTTCGTTTTTTAACCATCACTCCAGACAGGTTTAATTATTTTTTTACGTCTGCTTTTTTTTCCTCTTGCTTTGTTTTGATCTCTTCCCCAAGCACCCCATCCCCTTCTTTTTGTTGGAGACTTTTGGTCAGACTTTTTTTGGAAAAAATTATTTTAGCTAAGTCAGCACAAGACTGAAAAGACCGAGAGAAAGTGGCAGCTAAGAGACTGCAAAATCACCTCTTCCTGGGGTTCTCCAGCAGAGACAGAGTTGTACATTATTTTTACTGTGTTTTCACATACAGCTCTCTAGCTCTCTATCTAGCCATATACACGTGCAGAGAGAGACAAGTACATACACTGAAACTCAACCAGCCCAACCATGGGAGGAAGGGCTCAGCCTGATCGGAAACAATTACCGTTGGTCCTACTGAGATTGCTTTGCCTTCTCCCTACAGGGCTGCCAGTCCGCAGCTTGGATTTTACCCGAGGCACCGATAACATCACCGTGAGGCAGGGGGATACGGCCATCCTCAGGTAGGGCATTTTGCCAACTTTTTTTTGTGTGTGTTGTTTTACCCCCTGAACTGCAGTAGTGATTGCTGTTAGCGTTGGGGCTGTGTGCATGTGTATTTCTGTACCTTAATGTCACCCAAAAGCTTCTGACCCCCTCCCCCCCAGAGAAGAAGGATTTTATTGGGAAAAGGAAAATGTGCTCATGCTAGACAGCGCTCATGCACGTGTGTGTTTTGCTGGACCCGCAGTATCAATGGATAAATTGAAAGGGGTCCAGCTGAGCTTGCCAGATGTTCAGCTGCTCTCTTGATACTCCATTTTGCTCCTATGCAAAACTTTATCCACTTTGTTTCCAGAAATCTGATATGAGATCCTCCTTTTGGAAGGTATGACTCTTATTTGTTTAATCCATTGGGGTTTCTCATTTTAAGGGCTGGCGAAATAAAGAGGGTTCCAACTCTGAGATCCGTCTGAGTTATGTCTCTGGTCACTGTATTGACTGCCTTTCATAGCCAAGGAAATGGGTCTATACTGTATATACATGCACTAATGGTTCTCATGGGGGTATTGTTGCATGGGAAGGATGATTCTCTAGTATTGTGCAGAGCTAAGATTAACTGATCCCTATGGAGGCTTTGTAAGGGTCTTTCCCAGGCTATCTGGGCTTTGAACAAACCAATGTCCCACATAACTAAAATAAAATAAACTATCTCCCACAAGCTCCTTTTCAAATCCTACTTTTACCCAACTTACCTACTGTAACTTCCCCTACTGGACAAAGTAAGGGTGTGGGTGTGGGTGTGCGTATGCACGCACTTTATATTATGGCAGTAAAAGTACTGGACACAATCTAAAATAAGTCTGTAAGCTTTGTGAGTAGCTGATAGTGCACAAACCCTGGAGCATCTAGGGAGCAATTCCCTAGCAAAGCTAACTGCAGCAGCAAAGTTTCTTGCTCTTCCTCTGAAATAAATCCTACTAGATGTCACTAAGTGTCCTGCTACATGATCTGCTGTGCCCCGCATTTCTCCCTTTAGTGATGGAGGAGTATGTGCGTAGGGAAGATGTTAGGAAATAAGGGGGGAGTATGTGTGTGTTTGTTCCTTCCTTCTCTCATTGCTTGTGTGTTGGGTTGTTTTGATCCTGGACTATCCTTTCAGCAGATTTCATTCCCTGGCTCTCCAGACTCGTTAACTTGCATGTAAGGTTTATCCACATGGAGTAATAGGATTTGCAGAGTAATTCATCCGCCTCGCGTTCATGATGGAAGGGTTTAGACGCAACATGGAAAACACCTAACAATGATTGCTGCATCTGACTCCAGAGTCCTCTTCCCTCCTTCCACTCTGTGGGGATTCGTACATTTCATTAACCCTTTTCAGCAGGACTCCCCACCCTACTTCTATGCTGCAATTTTTTAATGCAGGTTTATTCCACCGCTCACCACTTTCGATGAGCAGCAGGGGACAGTGTTTGTTGGATGTGCTCAGAACATATGGCAGTAACCAAGCTATTTAAGCTCACTTGACCACCCCGGTCATTGGATTTCTATTTCTCACTTAACCGTGCAGCACTGGAGTTTATCGAGATGCTTTGTATTAAAACTGCATTTGCAGCGGAGTAGAATGTGTGTATCATTGAGGTGGTATTTGTAACTGCCATGCGTGAGGGTTTGTCAGTGTGATCTGAATAAGGATACGTATGAGAGCGTCTCAGGCATGTGAAGGGAGTGTGTGGTTGCTAGTGTTGTGCCAGACACTCAAAGTGATCCAGCTGTGTGAGCCAGATGTGCAGTAAGTTACACGCTCACACAAGCTCTGTATCTCCAAGCTTTGTTACTTGCCCCAAGCAAGATGATGATCCTGGATTGATGGATCTCTGTCAGAAGTAATTGTGGACAACATACATGCGCTCGCTTCCTCAGCCAGTCTTCCTTGGCTCTTTAAAGAGATCTGACAGGCTGTGTGGTGTTGGTTCCTTAAGATGAACAATTCTACTAGGGATGGCTTACTACCACCTTCCTTATGTCATTTCACTCCATGCCTGAGAGGAATGGGGAAAACTTGATTGGTTAGGAACCAGGGCTGCCACTTGGGGTTGGGATGGTAAAAAGCATCCTTTCCAGTGGTCTTAAGTGTCTGTGTGATCTGGGATGACATTTCATCCTCCCAGCATTACACCAAGGACCTATTTGTTGCTTCCCCCCACTGTCTCCTCCCCACTTCTGCATGAAGGGTCTCATTTCAAGAGATCCTTCCATTGCTGGTGTGCCTGTGGCCTTGTCTACACTACCATTAATTTAAAATGCTCTCATCATAATACTCTTTCTGGTGCAGCTCCACCAATGATAACAAGAGTAGAAGAGTTACCCAAACCTCATGCTGGCCTCCTGCACAGGGGTGAACTTAACCCTTAGTCATTTTTCTGATGCCCATCACGTCATCAGCTGAACACAAAATTGGCCAAGTTCATCCCTGGTCTAACTCCATTGGGTGAATTATGCTCAGTTACAGCAGAGAAGTCCAGTCAGGTCCCCAGAAGTACTCCCAATTTACACCAGTCTCAAAAGCTGATTCCTGAGTACCATTGAGGTGGTACTATGTGCCTTTGACTCCCAGTGACTTCACAGAGAGATTAGGCTCCTAAACACCTCCCAGAAGATGTTCAGTTGCTTGGAGGATCAGGACCTAGCAGACTGCAGAATCAAGCCCACTATTCTCGAGTGTTTCCAAGCACATAAATCAAAATCCAATTTTTTTTTCTTATTACTGAAAAATACAAAATTTGATCCAACTTCTGAATAAATGGCCAATTTCCAATTTGACCAAATGTTTAAAAAAAAATACTCAAGTTTAGTGTGATTATGGATATTGGAAATTTCAGCCCAAAGGGCAGTTGATTTCTGAAAGTTATATGTGTGTCAAAAGAGCAGCTACAATCACATTTCCAGCAATAATTACAGTTCTGTATATGTGATCCTGTAATATAAGCAGTTTACTCAAACTCTACGTTTTTGGCCTTAAGATATGTTATTGATATCCTGCATTTGCAGCAATGCTTATGGATAAAGCCCCTCAAGCAGAACACTAACATGGCATCAAAACAAAGTTTATGTTCTATGCAATCTGGAAAAAAGAAAAGTAAAAGCTGTTTAGATTACAGGTAGAATTAGCATATGATTTATAACCGGAAGCACTGAGCTGAGCTCTTTGCTAGAAATGACTATAGATCTATTCAGGGGTGTAAAGTAGCATATTAATATAGTCCTGACAGTAAAATCATAATCATTATTATTTGTATTATGGCAGCACTTCAGGAATCCAAGGTGCTGTGTAGAGTAAGAGACAATCCCTGTTCCATAGAGTTTTTAATCTTTTAGATAACACAGATATAGGATGGGAGGTGAAATAGAGGCACAAAGAGGTGAAGTGACTTCCCCAGGGTCACACAACCAGTCGTGGAATAAAATTCTCTCTAGGGTCCTATCTACTGTACCACATTGCCTCTCAACCAGTTAATACAATCAGCCAAAAAAATGCAACAGACCAGAGTTTTCATTAGTATGTCTTGATTTGCTTTGGCAGGGAATTGGCTGGAAGACCTATCAGGTCATCTTCCTCTCTAGTTTTTACAAGGCCTTGGTGTCAGGTAGAGTGGGCAAACAGAGAGAGATAAGCATATCAGGATCTGTTGCAGAAGAACAAACTATACTTCTGCTAATATTTTGTGTGTATCTTTACTACAATATGACTACTGTGTATGTGTGTATACAGGTATATAAGGGTTTGTGGTGTGTGTGTGTGTGTGTGTTTATGTACGTGTGTGTGCACAGGGATGGAGGGATGCTGCAAAATATATAGGCATGGCAGCAGTTGGTGTCACAAAATGTATGCCTGGTGATCAGGAGAATCACAAGATGTACTTTTCTGGAGGCTAGAGGGCTCACAAAATATATATGCCCAGTGGTGGCAGGGGCCATCGTGAAATATGTATTTGCCCAGGAACTGGGGTGTAACAGATCACAAACAAGGCTTCAATGGGGAATATGAAAAGGAAGTTGTATTGATATACATATGGTGTTTATACATATAACTTATGTTCAAGAAAGTGGAGGAGGAGAGACTGCGTCAGACTGTTGCTTTAACCTCCTCCCCTGGGTCTTCACATGCACTTCAGTTTGCAGCTAAATGCCATATGTTTTCCTGCTTAGTTGGCATTAAAATTTATATAGCAGTAAGAGTTACCTGGAGTGTCTCTGAGCCCATATCTCTTCTGCTCCCCTTGCCTTGAATTAAATTGAAGTTACTTGGAGCTATGGTTTCTAACTATAATGTTTTCAAGTATGTATTGAATATACTGCTTTTTAAACCCAGATACATAGGGGGCTGGTTCTGATAGAGTGACAACGCCCATTCACATCTGTTGTAACTGGATTGGCTTCGGTGGGTTTGGTCCTGGAATTAATTTAGGCATTCCTATTCTGGGTGCCTTGCCTTTGCCTGTCCATCAAAATTCACTCAGATTTGCAAAGCCTCATGCTCCCTATGAGTAAGGGCAATAGGAGGCCACAAAGATGAAGTCAGAAGTTTATTTAGTTTTTGTGTTTACTGTCCTCTGATATGAGACACGCAAGTGTGATTTTCAGCTAAATCTGATCCATGCTTGAGGCACATCTCACATGTCTGGGTTTTTTGGTAAGTAATAATAACTAATAAAGGTACATTTCACCTCTCCCCAGAAAACAACTATTTCAAAATAATCTGTGTCACCAATATACTATATTATTTTCACAGTGGCGCCTAGAAGCCCCAGCCGTGGACAAGAGCTCCTTTGTGCTAGGCACTGTGCAGACTGTAGCAAAGGGGATACATTTAGCCCTGGCTCTGAAGGCATAGATCCACTGAAATCAATGGAGTTACACCCATTTAAGCTATGGTTGAATTCCACTTATGCTTTTAAATAGTACATTTGTGTGACATTCTAAAGTGTTTCTATATGTCAGCGCCTGCGTGCATTTGTGT